ATAAAATCTTAAAAAATTAAAAATAAATAAAAAATAAAAACAAGAATACAAAAGCCAATAAACACAGAGATATTCATTCTTAGAACATAAATGTAATTTGAACCACTGGATAAGTCTGGCTAAAACTGAAAATATCTCACGTCAGTTTGGGGTCAAGAAAGCGGCATTTCCATGCATTCCTGGAAGGAATAAAATTGATACAGTCTTTCCAGAGGGCAAACTTTCTACTTTGATAATTGTGTCACACTTTAAATGGATGTATACTTTGATTCAGCACTCCCACTTATTAGGTTAACCAAGGTTAAACAATGGGAAAATGATATATACACAAATAATTAACATCATGTGGTGGGAAAAGTATAATTGACCAATCTTGATTGTTCTACTTACAAGCTGCATAATCTTGGACAAGTTCACTGGGATTCTCTGTGCCTCTGAGGTAGGAATGTAACCTTCCCCACTCATGCATGGGATTACTAAACAAGATGACATATATAAAGCATCTAGCAGTAACTACCAAAATATTACTTTTCAGCTTCTTATACTGAAACCAAGAACTGCTATGAACCAAGAACTAAAAGTAAAGCTTAGACAAAATTGGAAAGGGAGGTCAGGATCATGAAGAGTCTGGAAAGGCTAAGAAGACTGTATTTTACTCAGCAGATAATCAGAATCCATTAAAGATTTCAGCTTAGCGGTAATGGGTTTAGGAAAAGTCATCAGTTACTATTGTATAAGACGTACTCGGAAAAATAACTGGAGGCTCTGAACTCAATTAGCAGCATACTCCAAAAGCCCAGGGCAGAAGTCACAACTGCCTGGAATAGGATGACGGCATAATCATGGGAGGAGAAGAAGGATGAATGGACATCACTTGGCCACTGATTGGACATGGAAGCTAAGAGAAGTGAGGTACCTAAGATGACTCTGAAGTCTGTCTTAGACTCTGAGAACATAGTGGTGCCATAAACAGACACTGAGAAATTAGAAGAACCAATTTTGAAGGAAGGTGGTAAAATGAGTTTGAGATGAAGAAAACACACTCAAAAAGAGAAATCTATCAGCAAGGTAGAAATGTAAAACAGACTTAAAGGAAAAGTCAAGACAAGAGGCTTGATGTGGGGATCACTGGCACAGGGGGACGACCAAACCTACAGGAGGAGATAAAACTGCCGAGGGAAATAAGAGAAGGAAGAGGACAGAATACTGGGCAAATGTCCACCATTATGTGGGTAGGGCGACAGGTGATAGAGGAGGGGCTGCAGGTATGAGACAAGAAAGTGCAGAATTAAGAAAGCCAAAGTATCCCTGCATTTCAGGAAGGAAGAGATGCTGATAGTGTCTAATGCTGGAAAGATCAATAAGGATTAGGACTCATAAAAAGACACTACACTGATGTTCTAGATGTCAATGGCAGATTAAACATAGTCAGGGGCAAAAATCTGATTACAAAAGGGGCCAACGGTGAGGAGCTCCAAGTAAAGACTTCTAGCCACAAACGAGAGGAAGCACAGTAACTGACCCCGGGAAGCAGGATAGAGAAAGTCAATGCATTAGAGTCCCTTGCTGAGCCCAGTATAGGACATACATCCGTAAAAGATAAAGTTCTTGCCACTCACTTGAACTGTGTCCGTGTGTGCATAAAAATGTGGTAAGTCCTAACTGAGGTTCAAAACGCTACCAGACTGAAGAGAAAGTGGAGGCTTCTTGGAGGAGGTGGAAGATGAGAGGGCCCTAGCGGATGAGCAGGTGGTCTACAGGCGGGCTGGAAGGGAGGGGCATCCCGGGGATGCAAGGCAGTTTCTGAAGACAGTCTGGGCTTTGGGATGCTCAGTTTGTTTGGAAGGGCGGGACCACGAGGGAGAAGACTTGCTGGAGATGGGGAGACTGACTATGTCTCAGAAAGGGAAGGAACCCATCAAGAGGCAGAGCCCAGTGCCAAGGTTTAACAAAAGGACTGGCCTAGGGGCTGGGGGGAGGGGTCAGCCCTGGAGACAGGAGCGCAAGGCAGATGGATCATAATGATGCTGGGATGTTTCAGGAACATGGGGAAAACATTGTTTTCACATTAGCTTATAATGATTTTCTAAGGTGAGGGCATTTGCCCTCTGGTTTGAGAGGTTGGAGAAGATTTGGAAGGTCATAAAGAGCAAAAAAGACATTAATACACATTATACACTACCTTGTTCAAAGAGGATTATGGGGAGACTCCTCCCCCAACTACTCCCAAAAGAGAGGTGTGTTAAATGCTTTGAAACATTATGGTGAACTTTTAAAGAGGGGCTCCTTTGAGTTACCTGTTTTGTTAGTCTGAATTCTCACATATGGAGTTCTCAGAAAATACTCTCCTATTATCACTGAGTACACAATAGAACTGCAAATAATAAGCCCGTACTTGGCTGTTTTTGAATTTGTGCAGAGGTAATGGTGAGAAGCTTAAAAAAATTCAACCCCAGCAGGTACCTTCCCTAAGCAGTCTTTCAAACAAGAAATTCTTTGGACTTACTTCCTTTACTGTCCCTGCAAGCCCCCAACCACCGAAGGTATTATGTTCAGTATTACCTGGATGATGGTTCCAGAAGACGAGGATGCTCTATCTTCCTCCATGTCCCTATCATGCTTCCAGAGTAAAGACCAAGACCCAGAAGATGGCTCTGCTTTCTTATCTCCATTCTAACACAGTAATCAATTGATTAGCAAAGAAGTAATTTCCTACCATCCTAAAAGCATCCTACTCATCTCTCTTGTAAAACTCGGTTTACCAGGCAGTGTAAAACTGTAGCCCTTAATCCCTCACCCCTTCTATTTTTCACCTCTTTCTTCGGCTAAGCAAATAATAGGAGTCTAAATGTCATTGCTCTTCCTGAAGCCTAAAAGATATTCTGAAAAGTTGGAAGTCAGCTCACATCGCTCAAAAAGGATCTTTAAAATGGTGCTTTAGGAATTTAATCTGCTTTGGTAAAGGTAACCTTAAATGCTATCTTTAAATAACGGCCTGATGAACATGTGTTTTTGCTGTTGCCAAAGACAAACAGTTGGTATTATAAACATATCAGCTCAGAGACAAATATAGGCCTTAAATTAGAAGCAGACGGCCGGTCATTCTATTCTCGGCCCCGGTTCCTCTGCTCTCGCTACTCCTTCTGCCGTGAAGGGGCATACTCAGATTACAAAGTTGTCTGGTGGTCTGAGCACAGAGTGAGCCTGTGATCTCCCTTGTCTTACCACTCAGTTCCATGCTGTCCCAGTCTATAGAAAAGCAGGTGGTTCTGTGTGATGGTAGAGCTACTGAACAATCCATAAAATGAGAAGAGAAAGTGTCTCGTGGTTACATGTGAGACATAAAGACGACAAACTGCTGCAATTTTCTTCCTTTTGGCACAAGACCCATCATAACTTTTGTTTTTAAAGTACAAAATGGAAATTGATACCAGGAAAGGCAACTGTCCATGTCTCCTTCAGTCTGTTCTAATGAAGTCGTAAGGATGAGTGGTATTAGTTGCTAACACAACTCTCTATATTGGCAATGCTGTTTCAGACTAACAAATCTGGAAACAAATTCAAATCTGGAAAAATAAAGTTCTACAAAGCACACTAGGAATGCCAACCAAACAACATACTCTCCAAACTTCAGAGAAGGTACTCAGAAGTCAGGATCCAACCAAGAACTTCACCTTCTCCCTTAGGCTAACAAGTGCGTCTGAATTACATTTCTCCCACTTGGGCTTGAAGTCAATTTAGATGCACTTAACGTTAATAATGTAGGAGAATGGCTTCAATCACCCTTATAAAACATCGGCATTAAATTTTAAAATCCTTGTGTTTCTATTCATTTTAAGAGCTTCCCATTGAACTGAACTTTTAGAGATTTCAGTTCTCACGCAATGTAACGAGAAAATCATGTTCCTTACTTCACTCTTCAGGGAGCTCTCTTCCGCCTCTTCCGTGAGCGCCGGCAGGAAAGACATGGCACTGGTTTTGTTCATCTGAAAGGCACAGCACAAACGCTTGTGGCCAGTTTGCTGTCCAACATCCCCGGGATCCTGGCCCGGCTGCGCCTTGATGTAGCTAATTGTTTACTCATTTCATTCGAGCAGCCCACCCACCCACGCAGCATCTGGGTCCAGTAACTTGCAGCTCATCCTGCCAAATATCATGACTCCATCAAATCTTACATCCCTTTTACCTGCACTGCTCCCTGTGGCCCCTCCTCCAACAGTTCAAAATGGGATCCACAGGTGTGGACACTGAGTGGGCTTAGAGTGGGGCCGGGTCCATTTCTGACTTTGCACTGGGCTGACCGGTTACCACGAAGATCCTGCAGGCGTGGCTCCCACCCTCCTGCCCGTGGAATTCCATACACCCTTCAAGGAACTCGGGCATAAGAATTCCAGGTTGAGTTCAGGACAGACACACCCCAAGGATTTATATTCCCTAGTGAACAATCTCAGGCAGATGGCTCCACTTTTAAAATTCCTATAGGCCATCAACCTAGATGCCACAGGCTTTTCAGGTGGCAAATAACACCAATTCAGTACTCCTGTGGGGAGTGGGACCAACATTAGCCTGAAGTCCTACCCACCTTCCACTCAGAATCCCTCTCAGCTACTCTCTCCTCTTCTGACGCTCCGGTTGATGGCATTTCTTGTTCTAATGCTTGCTGGTCTTGCTGTAAATGCTGGTGAAGGGTTAGGATGGCAGCCTTCAGGTCCACCAGCAGGTTCTCTTTCTTCTGGTTCAAACTCAGAATCTGCTTTTCCATATCTTCGATGTCTCCCTGTGCAGAAAGAGTGTTTGCATTGCTGTGAGCCCTCTGAGGCCTCTACCTGCCCCCAGGAGCTTGCATCATTTGGTATAAGGGGTGATGAGTGTTCTACGGTATCTGATGTGCAGATCCAGGAGTGAATGTCTGGGACGGTAGAGCTCCTCCTGATCCTGGCTGCAGTTCCAAATGACCTGGTGAGGGTTTATAAGCTCCCCTTATGGGATGACTTAGCTTCACCGGACACTTGATCCATCAATTCTCTGGGGGTCAAGCTAAGGCTCAGAGATTTGTCACAAGCTCTGTGGGGGACTGTGGTGTGCAGCCAGGGCTGGGAGCCACCACCCTGGTGGTGAGAAAGTGGAGGCTTTCTCCACTTTCTCACCACCAGGGTGGTGGCTCCCAGCCCGTCAGGACTGACGGCCAGAATACACAGGGTCAGGGCCCGGGAAGTTTCCCAGGACATTTGTAAGCAGACTAACATTCAGGAACCACTCAGAAAAAACAAGGTGAGAAATCTCACACTTCCATGATGGCTTCTGAAGCCGTCTTTACTATTACTGAATTCATTTACTTTTTCTCACAAAATTTCCTACAAAATGGGAATAAACAAGCAAATAGAGGGAGCGTGAAGTGTAACTTACCACGGGAATGATGGACACATGATTCCAAGTTTTATAACATTACTTTAAAAATGTGTATGATTGGTGGGTGGGAATAAAATGTCTTCTATGTGGCAGAAGGGCCCTTGCCCACTGTCCGTCTAAGACAAATATAGAATTAAAGAATCCTAGATTTGGAGGACATAGCAGGTGTCTAATAGAACATCCCCCTCTCTTAACCCCCGTGAAAGGCATCATTCCACCTCTGTCTGATCCCTGCAGTGAGTGCTGCATCAGAAGACAACCCGCTCCTTATCAGCAAACCTTCCCGCACTGGCATTTTTATTTCTAATATATTCCTCAAACCCCTGTTCATTTGTTTGTTCGTTCCTTCCTTCTTTCTTCCCATCCATCAATCCGTGCATCCTACAGACATTCACAGAATCATTCCCTTTCTTACAGAGAAGCCTACCATGTCTCCGCATATAAGTGAGAGTTCTAAGGTCCAGGGAGGAATTTTCCAGGGCTGCAGGTAGCCAGTGACGGGAGCACAGAACCAGACTCCCTGATACCCACCTCCAGAGCCCCTCTGCTACCGCACACATTCTGACACCAATAACCCTATTCTGTCTGAAGTGAAACTTCCTGTAATTGCTTTGGGAAATGAGAACTAAAGTAAATAGGAGTTGGCAATGCTGTGTGTCCATTTTCAATAAACACTAAACTTCAGAGTTAAAATGCCTCCCGACAGACCTAATATGCCAGCCATTAGAATAACCCTAAGAGAAACAGCAGTTTGCACACCAACCTTATAGAGGCACAGTAGTTCTCAAAGTGGCATCTACAGAACCCCTGGGGGTTCCCATTCGGTGAGGTCAAGATCGTTTTCATAATAATACTAAAATGTTATCTGCCCTTTTTACTCTGCTGCCATTTTTCACTATAGGATGATGCAAAGCAATGGTGGGTAAAACTACTTGCACTTCATATGAATCAAGGCAGGGACATCAACTATATTAGTTACTAGATTCTTCACTATCATGTGCTCAACTGTAAAAAAAAAAAAAAAAGCCAGTTTGGCTTAAGAATATGCTTTTTTTTTTTAAAAGAATATTCTTGATAAAGAACATGCACTTTTAATATTCTGTGTGACAAGGTGGAAAGTATGCATAAAGCGCTTCTGCCGTGTGCCAAAGTATGATGGTGGAGGAAAAGCTCTGTGTGGTTATTTAAGTTTTGAGCTGAACTACCCATTTTTTTCATAAAATGCTATTTTCACTTAGAAAAATACAGCTGCTAAGCTAGACAAATATAGAAATACTAACAGATTTTTCTGAAAAGATAAATGTTAATATTAGCAAGTGTGAATTTTTTAATATCAACTACTGAAATGTTGACATATTTGGAGGATCTGTGTGACTGGCGAAACAAAATTTTCCAAACGATCAAGGATGACATCATAAAACCATGCACAGTTAGAAGATCCATTCATAGTACAAGTAGGCCAAGGGGTCTTAATGCAAGAGCATGAAAGTTCATTGACATGGATTTGGATCCCATTTAACAACAAACCTGTGAGTAACTTCTACTTGTTGGAGTTTAGTTTCAAAGAATGTCGACAATTTTTCAAAAAGGTTATTAAAATATTCCTTTCTTTTCCAAGTACATCTTGTTGAGAGGTTGGGTTGTTTTTATATACTTCAAACACAACTACATACCTCAACAGATGGAATGCAGAAGCAGGTGAGAATCTAGTTGTCTTCTACGAAGCCAGACATTTAAGAGATTTGCAAGAATGTAAAACAAGGTCACTCCTCTCACTACATTTGCTTTTGGAAATTTTAACTTCTTCCATAAAAATATGTTATTTCTATCAATATGTAATGGGTTTATCATTGTTATTTGAAAATAAACTAAATTATTTTTACATGTTTGAGTTTTCGTTTCTTTCTATATCAATAGATATGATTCATATAAACCAAAGCTCTTTGGGGTCCTCGTATTTTTTAATGTGATGGGAAATTTAACAGATTTGCAATACTGAGTCTTTAATGTTGAGTCTGCCTTACTGAGTCCACCACCTAATAGGTGTGTCCCCTTAGACCCCTCTCTGTAAGTAATTTGCTTTAGACCTCACAGCTAGCAAGTGTCATAACCCGGTTTTGAATACCATAGCATTCACCTGCCCAAATCAGCTTCATAGTGGGATAAATGCAGCTCTTTACAATGCCTGGCACACAATCAAGTTTTTTTGTTATAGAAATACTAATTCGAGGGGCGCCTGGGTGGCTCAGTCGTTAAGCGTCTGCCTTCAGCTCAGGTCATGATCCCAGGGTCCTGGGATCGAGCCCCGCATCAGGCTCCCTGCTCGGCGGGGAGCCTGCTTCTCCCTCTCCCACTCCCCCTGCTTGTGTTCCCTCTCTCGCTGTGTCTCTCTCTGTCAAATAAATAAATAGAATCTTTAAAAAAAAAAAAAAAGAAATACTAATTCGAAAACACAGACTAAATTTAAAAAAAAAAACAAAAAACCCTAGCAGTAGAGGGTTAATATGCACACCACTGTAACTGGGTCCACAGGATATTGCTAAGTATGGCACATGGAAATACTACTTAGTGTATGAAACTCTTCATTACAACAGGGTTCAGGGTGTTTAGCTGTAAAGCCCAGCCCGCCCACCCTGCCTGGCCCCTATCTCAGAAAGCGAGGTGGAAAATCAGGTTGTCCAAATATCCTGTGTGACATCAGCTTCTTCGGTGGCAGAGCAAATTCAGACCCAAATGCACCTCTTTTATGAAATCGGAATGGAAAGTGAACATACACATCATATACCTTCAGTTGGAAGAGGGGAGGAAACACACTGTACCATCCCAGAGGCTTCTAGACACCAATGGTTTAGTAAGCGACTGCTGAATGAACTACAGGGCAAATCAGTTAAAGAGACATACCTGTACTTGTGCCAGGTTGGTAGCTTGGTCTGGTGACAGACGTTCATGGGAGAACTCAGCTGAGTAATCATTTAAGATCTGCTTCAGATTTTCTATGTCTTCATTGCATTCATCGGTCTGTTTTATGACGATCTATAAAAGAGCCCCCCGCCCAAAGAAGAATCTTTGTCATAATCTAAGGACTAGATTCATGGATTGCTTCCAACATCTATCCCCACCACAAGTTTCAATCAATTACAACAAATACACACCCACATAGGTTGCAGTAGAAAATGGAAGCCTAAATACAGAGAGAAATGTTCAAAGAGCTGGCACCTGACTTTCCTGCTCTACTAGATGCCAGGACACCTCGGGCAACGCTTGGAGTACAAGCATAAGACGACATGCCTTTGCTCGTAAGTCTAGTGGGCTTATTCTGGGAAGCATTTGATGGCATGTGAACATGAAGTTGCCAAGTTTTATGAAACTACTGGTATGTTGTACATGCTCTTTTAATGCATGCTCGATGTGATGCTTTCCACACAGAAAGGTGACATCACTGATTCAGAGCGGAAAGGGCATGTGATCTGACAGATGAGAAGTCTTCCCATTCCAGCCACATCCTCATCCGGTAGCCCTTGGGATCAGTGATGTACATTTTATGAGTAAGAGGCTGAGGGTTCAAGAGCAGTCTGAGTTGGCAGGAGGAAAAGGCAAAATTAACCAGAAAACACATTGAATCTAGTGTTAAGGAAGTAGTGAAGCTCAAACCTATTTGTGGACTAAGCTGTATGATCAAAGTATGACAGAAAGATAAAGAAAGTATATATATATAAAAAAAGATAAAGTATGCTACACAATGAAGCAAAATGCCTTTTAAAACTTCAAAGTTTCTGGCCAACATAGAATTCTTCCTTGTATTTTCTTTAATATTTAATCATAATTTTAGCTGTGGGCTGGAAATAAGTAACTAGGTTCACTGCACACACCGGTTCCCCAACCCTCGATAATGAGCTACATTCTATTACCCACTGCCCTCCCCAAAGTAATTTGTCTTGTTTTCCACAATGAGGGCACTTACAATATCCAAAATAGAAATTAAAAGAAATGTACCATATTCTAATGATTTTCATTACCACTGGCTTACTTAATTTTGAAATATATGAGATGACATCTGATTTCCACTTACATAATAACATGGAAAATTTAAGCAGCACAGTTTGAGACCTAACGGCACAAAATATAATTTCTTCTTCTATTTCCCCCTTCTCATCCTGTGAAGAAGCCACTTTAAAGCATAGTTACAACTGTTATTTTCTTTTCCTGACCAGGAAACCAATAAAGCACATACACACACAAAAAAAAAGATTAAAAAGAATAGATCAAATTTGTATCTCTGTTTTCTTCTCTTTATCATATTAAAAAGTACTACACAGAGTACCTGATCTTTTTTCTCCCTGTGGTTGTTAGGAAATGACATCTGCTGATCAGCAGCCAGGACAGAGAGATTCTATGAGCTAAGACTCAAACCAGAGGTTACAATATCTTCAAATCTTAGGAGAACACGAAGTAGCCAGCTAAATGGGAATGAAATTTAAGAGGGACAACGAGCAGCTTTCTCCCCTACAATCAGGTGGTGGTTGGGAAGGAGGGGAAAAAAATAACCTTTCTCCCACCCCAACCTAATCTAATAAGGAAAAACCAGTGGGTGGTGGGAGGATGGGGTGGGACCTACCAATGGAGTTGAAAAGTCTGTGGAATTTAAGGCTCTTTCAGCAACTTTCTGTTCTTGTGAAAGTGGTTGTTAATCTAGGAATGCAAACCAAAGAAAAATATAATTTCTATCTAATAATGATTCCTGACCTGGGCCTGGAGATCAATCAAAACATAAGAAAAAAAAAATACCCTCTGTGGAGAGGATGAAAGATGCTATCAGTTAGAAGAAAGAGACCCTGATATGGAGAATGAATGATACCAGGAGTCTAGAAACTCAAATTCTTGTCTTATTTGCACATAAATTAATCTGGACACAAGTTAGCTCAGTGGTCTTTCAGCAAGTCATCTAATCTTCTGACTCTTGTCTCCTTTTATGTAAAAATAAGTTTGCAAGGTGCCAACTCTATCTGTACCACATGTTGGAGAGTAAAATGAGATGATTAATAGGAAAGTGACTGAAATGTATAGAGAGATTATTATGGTGCTGGTTACTGTAAGGGTCTCAGGAGATTGTACCGCTCAGGTTTGAATCTCTCCCCATAGCATTTACTCGCGGAGTTCATCAATAATCATAGGATGGAATCAAACAGATCATAACTATGCTTTAGTGCTTTCGACCGAACAAGAGTAAGAACTGAGAATTTGAGCAATAACATACTCTCTTTTACCAAATGTCACCTCTTGGATAATAATACTGGAAGAGACCAAGAGGAATCAACAAGGGCAGCATCTAACAGTCATGGGACTCTCACTGACCCAACCATTAAAACCGAAAACAAAACCAGCTTTTGCCAAACATTTTCAGCCTATAAGTTGGCTGTCATCATCATAAACTGCTCACCTTTAATAATTCATTTTGTTCCTGAGTCACATTTTCCAACAGTTTTATGTCTTGTAAAAGCTGATTTGTCCGCTGAAACACAGGTAGAGGTTTCATTCCTGTCTGGGGCCACCGCAGTTCCACTTGGTAAGACACGAGTTCAGCAATGGCTTTCTTCATGGGACGGATGTTTTCAAGTATGACCTTAATTGTATCAGATAAGCATGGTACATAAATAAAAAGAAATGGCCACTGCTGAGTCTGTTCAAAGTTAAAATACTGTATGATTTAGTCTTTAATCTATAGTTTTGATTTTTAAAGCATTTCCTTGGCTCAGACTGAAAAGAACTCTCAGATCACTTGTGACTGGATGGCTAAAGGTCTCAGGAAAGAAGGCCTGAGGCAAGAGTAACCCATCAGCGCTAGGTTCTGCGTTTGGACCACCCTTGCCTTCCCTCTCTTCGCTGCCCCCCACTCTCTGCAGAACTAGTGCTTTGCTTTGTGTCACCAGGCAGTGAGCTGTCCAAGGGCAAATACTACCTCTGACGTTCCGAGCCTCTGCGCCTAGCATGGGGCTTCCCACAGGAAGCTCTCAAAAAGTGCTTCTTGAACGGTCCTGCCAAATTTCCGAAGTCCCAAAAATATAATTATATTTTGCTTGAATGACACCTGCTCCATCAAGCTCTGGATTTATATAATCCTGGGAGGTAGGTATCAGAACTTCCATGTCACAGTACGGAAATTGGGTGCACAGAAGTTAGAAGACCCAGAGGAGGTCAGACTGTAAAAGGCAGAACTGGGAGTGGAGTCCAGGCCTGCCTGATTCCAAAGCACGGGCTCCTAACCGCTAGGCTGACAGGGAATCAAGTCTGTATGCTGTTTAATATGTCCCAGATCCCGTGCTAGGGGCTCTGTATACACCGTAATTGTCCAGTACAATCACTACAATACCAATGTGCAGATAAAAGAGAATCCAAGAAACGTTAACTAAATTGCTCAAAGTCACATAGCCCGTAAGCAGTGCAGTTGGGTCTAGAACGCAGTTCTCTTGACCTAGAGGCTCAAGCTCTTGAACTATTAAGCACTGGGAATTGACATGAAGGCAAAACTCCCAAACTCTGAAGTTTTCAGAAGAAAAAGCAAAACAAAACAAAAAAAACCTATAGGAAAATTATCTTTTTACACATAGTACTGTATGATCTAAAACATGATATTTATTGTCATTCCTATCTATTTCCCAACTTTATTTTGCTATTATTCTAGCAAGACTAAGTACTTTTTATCGCATCATATTATTACATATTTAAAAGCAAACATAATAAGTATTATAAGAAAATGTTTTTAATAATGATCCATGCTTCCTTACCTCCCCATGCTTAAGATGTTCTTCCGGTGAAAAATCAAATATTTCTTTTGATAAGAGGATAGCTCTGATTTTTGAAACTTTTTTCTCTATTGATTTTACTTCAGTTTCAATAGCAACCACATCCTAGAATTTCAGAAACAAAAACTCTCATGCAGTATATACTGTCTGTTAATAATCCATAAAACACAACTTATTGCTATGTATTCTATTCTCCTATTTAATAAAAAATGCCACTTACACTTCTTAAAAATTAACCAAGTCTATCTTCAACAAATGGTGTTGGGAAAACTGGACAGCTACATGCAAAAGAATGAAACTGGACCACATCCTTATAATATACACAAAAATAAACTCAAAATGGATTAAAGACCTAAATGTGAAATATGAAACCATAAAAATCCTAGAGGAGAACAAGGTAGTGACTTCTTTGACATTGGCCATAACATCTCTCTAGATATGTCTCCTGAGGCAAGGGAAACAAAAGCAAAAATAAACCACTGGGTCTACATCAAGATAAAAAGCTTCTGCACAGCCAAAGAAACAATCAACAAAACCAAAAGGCATCCTACGGAATGGGAGAAAATATGTGCAAATGACATATCCAATAAAGGGTTAGTACCCAAAATATATAAAGAACTTATACAGTTCAACACCAAAAAATCCAAATAATCCAATTAAAAATGGGAAGAAAACGTGAACAGACATTTCAGCAAAGAAGACATACAGATGGCCAGCAGACACATGAAAAGATGCTCAACATCACTCATCATCAGGGAAAAGCAAATCAAAACCACAATGAGATATCACCTCACATGTGTCAAAATGGCTAAAGTGAAAAACACAAGAAACAAGTGTTGGCAAGCATGTGGAGAGAAAGGAAATGTGTGCTGTTGGTGGGAATGCAAACTGGTACAGCCACTGTGGAAAACAGTCTGGAGGATCCTCAAAAAGTTAAAAATGGAATTACCATGTGATCCAGTAATTCCACTAGTGGTAAACAATACAAAAACACTAATTTGAAGAGATACAGCACCCCTATGTTTATTGCAGCATTATTTACAATAGACAAATTATGGAAGCAACCTAAGTGTCCATCGATAGATGAGTGGACAAAGAAGATGTGGGGTATATATATATAATGGGATATTACTTAGCCATAAAAAAGAATGAAATCTTGTCATTTACAACAAGATGGATGGAGCTAGAGAGTATAATGCTAAGTGAAATAAGTCAGTCAGAGAAAGACAAATACCATATGATTTCACTCATATGTGGAAGTTAGGAAACAAAACAAATGAATAGAGAAAAAAAGAAACAAACCAAAAACCAGACTCTTAACTATAGAGAACAAACTGATGGTTACCAGAAGGAAGGTGGGTGGGGGCTGGGTGAAATAGGTGAAGGGGTTTAAGAGTACACTTATTGTGATGAGCACCGAGTAACGTACAGAATTGTTGAATCACTATATTGTATACCTGAAACTAACATAACACTATATGTTAACTATACTGGAATAAAAAAAAACTAACAGAGTGTACATAGATGTTGACTGCTTTATTTTATTTTATTTATTTATTTGAGAGAGAGAGAGTGAGCAAGAGAGAGCACAAGCAGGGTGAAGGGCAGAGGGAGAAGCAGACTCCCCACTGAGCAGGGAGCCTGACATGGGACTTGATCCTGGGACTCTAGGACCATGACCTGAGCCGAAGGCAGATGCCCAACTGACTGAGCCAGCCAGGCACCCTGATTGCTTTTAATAAAAAGGTCATTCTATTAATAGCATACCACACTATAAAGCATTGCTTATACCTTGTTGAGTTAAAACTTTTCATAAGGCCAATTTTCAATTATTCACACTATGAGATCAAAAGTATTATGCATCTGAATCAATTTTTTAAAGTTTATTTGTATTTTTAGTAATTTCTATATCTAACATGGGGCTCAAACTCATGACCTCAAGATCAAGAGTTGGATGCTGTCCCAACTGAGCCAGCCAGGCACCCCTGAATCAATTTTTAAGTAAATTCTCAATATCTACGAACTCTTTAGATTTATCTTTGGAATGTGTTTAAACACTGAAATACAAGTGGGTCTAACATTTAAAAAAATTCTATCACTTTATGTAAAATGATAAAGTCACCCTTGGAAAACAAACACAAAAGAAGCTGGAAAAATTGACAGGATTTTCTTGCCAATACCCCAATGAACTATTGTCATGCAGAGTCACTAAATTACTTTATAACATCCTCAGATTAATTTATAAACAATAGATCACCTGTCCAGTGGTTATTCTCCGATCAATGTCAACCTCTAGGACTTAGCCAAGAACCTTACAGTGAAAATGCTGCATTGTGTGCTATAAACCTACACACGGGCTACAGATCCCACGTGTGGAAGAATATGTGCTGTAAAACCATAAATGGATGAATACAGGCTACAAACCCTTCATACTGAAGTCCACCTGCACTGTAAGAAGGCCTTCAGACCTTTACTTAAGAGCTCAGTGCAGGGGCGCCTGGGTGG